AGTGGCTGGAATGGGCACTATATGCAATGCAGTTCTAGAACTGCTAGGACAGCCACCATGTGGATTTCAGACCAGCTGGAATCAGGATCAGGTATGCTTGGGAGAGGGAGATGAGGGCTGTGGGCCCAATCCAGCTCATGGACCATCCCCACATCAGCCATCCAACCCACAGGGCCAGATGAGTTTGACACCCTTGCTTTACAATGCAAACAAAAATAAAACAAACAACCCCAATCACAGGGTTAAAAGTTATGAAGATTGTAGTTCATGCAGAACTGACATCATATGTATTAACATACTATCCTTGGCACATAACTCAAAGTGTACTTGAATTGTATTTTTTTTAATTTCCTTGAACACATCTGAAAGGACACAGGAAAGGGCAATGCCATTAGAGCAGTTCTACATAATACTTCATTAACACAGATTTTCATTTGGCAGAATGTGCCATGGATTCATACACTTGCCATGGAGAATCTGTGCTGACAACTGTAGCTTTGTGATGAGCTATGGGTTTTCTTGTGTTCTTTCTGTATTACTGTGTTCAAGTTATAACATCATGTGACTCAGTTTATGTCTTTAGCATGTCCACAGAGAATGAAAAGTTAAGTGCTGGGCTGGTTACATGCAGGAAGAAACCAGGTGGACCTTTCAGTGTCAGCAGAATCTTTAATAGCTTTGTTGATGTATCAACAAAGGTGAGATGCCAGACAAACAACAGTTGTACAGAGATAAAAATGACAATGGCAGACCAGGCTGGAAACAAGTAGGCTGCCAGCTCCTGGCCAGAAGAGTCTGGGGACTGAGGCAAGTAGAGGAGCATTACAGAGCTGAAAGTGAGCAGCTGCATATCTATGGGTTGCTCAGGTCTGTGTGGGCTGACTGCCCTTTGCCCCAGTAAATGCCTTTACTGAAGAGACTGTGGTCTGTGCTGCTTGGACTTGTGGGTACATGAGTCACCCCAAAAGGAGGTGAAGCTGGATGCTTTCAGGAGTGAAGCTGGATGCTAGTTAATTGATCAGGGCCATGGAGAACCACGGAGGATGAAGGACCAAAAGGCCAGGGCTTCAATGGGAGCTCTCAGAGATCAGACAAAGCCACAGTAGTCCTGAGCAAGCATCCATTGGAGGGCACTGGGCATTTTGACACATGCAAGCACTGTAGTGCTGGGTGTTTTGAAAAGCATCTGGTGCTGTGTCGCTTGCAGTTGTATAAGGAGTGAAATGCACATCAGCGCAGAGAAAATGGCAGTGGCGTGCTGTAGTTCAAAAGTGCATTACTGCCATTTTCTGCATGCTGAAACACATTTCATGGCTTATACAACTGCATGTGGTGCAGCGCGGTGTGCATCAGCTCACATGCAGAGCAGACTCGATTAATCAAGATCTCCGATGTGTTGCAGGATGAAAAGGTATGTGTATAAATGCCCCCTGTGACAAGCCTAAAGCTGGGTGGTCCTGTCTCAAAGCACACAAAGTAATTGCTCATGACCACACTCCTGTACTGTACAGCACCTAAAAGCTCTCAGTTCAAAGCCTATTAGTTACTATAATTCATAATAAAATTACAAGTACAGAAATACCCTATTGTGATCTGGAAGAAATAGTAACATGGTTAAAAGAAGAGTAGCTCAATACTATTAACTTAACAGATAAGCAATTATTTAATGAGAAACCTTGAAGCAAAGTCCAAACTTCAGCATTATCAGTAGATATGTACATGCTGAACAAGAAATTACCTAGAGAAAGAGAAATATGAACACATTTTAAATGAAACCTTCTCCAGTTGTACACCTTGGCCAGCTTCTTAATACAGAAACCATCAGAGAATTTCAAATCATACTATACAATTATGGTTGATCAGGTGCATTAAAGTTTCTTAAAATAAGTGAAAAAGTATCAGAGAAATAATGACAGAGATGTAGACAGCATCTTGGAAATCAGAGCACCCAGAACTTCATGAAGAAGACTGACAAGAGTTTGACATAGGATAGTACTATTCTACAGGGAAGTTGATTAATTTACTGTGCCCTAATAAGGGCACATGTTTAGATAGTGATGCTTTACTGTGGAGTTAATTAGTCAATTCCACAGTAAAGCACAGAGGTAGATGCGCCTACTGAGTTTGAACTGGTTGTAAGAGTGGAAATGAATAAGAGAAAGATATAGGCAGGCAAGGTTTTTTGAGAAGATGTGATTTTTTTTATTAGACCAACTGAGTGGTTGGAAAAAAGTTCTTAGCAAGCTTTTGGGCTCAGTCACCCTTCTTCAGTCATAGGGAGTCTCTGCTGTTCTGAGACTCCAAGGAATGAGAGAAGCTAAAAGTGAAGACATCTATCTTTTAGAGAAAGAAAGGTAGATAAGCGGGACTGCACAAAAGGAGAACTGCTATTGAGGGGAGGTCATCCTGAATGAGGTTATGAACATACAGAAAAAGAAGAAAGGATGGATAGATGGATGAGATCTGTGATCGACTTCCCTGCAACCCCGACTAGTTATTGGGCTTCTCTCTCATAACCCCTCCCCACAAAAGCATTCAGATGCCTCTTGCCCACCATGATCATATCCCACCTTGCATTAATATGAATGAATATCACGATAATGAAATAAAGAACTAAGGTAAGGGCATACTCCATTTACAAAGAGAGAAGTAACAGGGTTGGAAGTGGACTAGAGAATGGAGATACTACTTCAAGAGACTGGGTGAAGGATGACAGTGATAGAAAAAGTGAGAATTTCGGCTCTGAAATTATGGCAGCTCAACTGTTTCAATAATCAGCAAAATTCTGCCCAGACATAAAAGAAGAGCTAATTTGGGTAGCAGGTTTCAAAACAGATGGATCTGCGAATACAACTGTTCAAACATGAGGTGTACATTGTAGAAAGGAAATAAAACTAGGTTACAATTGAAAACTACGAGGGAATGGAACATACGGCAACAGTAATATATGACAATAGTGAAAACTGATCCATGACATAATAAGCAAAAAGAAAAAATGTGATATAGAGCTGGAGTAAAGAGTGCACTTGTACTGATTTCAACAAGTAAATCATTAGTTTTTCAAATCAAAGACAGGAAATTCAATTAAAAACAAAACTCCAAAGTAAGCAACTGGGACTAATGCAATGATATTATTGAATATTCAAAACAAAGGGCAGTCTGCAAATTCAAGTTATGGTACTTACATATTTTTCAAAACTCAGTCTTCTTGAAACAATGGCATATATTAATAGATAACATTTATAGTAGATTCAAATATTACAGCATACCACATGTGGACTAAAATGAGATGTTTCTGAAAATATAGCTTTGATTCACCTGTCTATACTGCATTTAAATTCTAAAATATAATTTTGATTAAAGATTTATGCGTGAGTCATAATTAAACATATGGTCCTTGAGGAGGGGTCCACTTCTCTGTGTGTGTGTGTGTGTGTGTGTGTTTGTACAGCATCTCATGCAACAGGATCCCTTAACATGATTGGGGGCCACTGATGTTTTGGAAATACAAATCATAGACAATAACATCATTTGATATTGATCATGTATACAAATATAGATTATTTATGAAAAGGGTTAAGTTTAATCACAGGCATCATCACTTTTTATATTGTGGCATATCAAGCCATGGCATAGCACTTCAAAGGCTGTACTAGGATAATCTTTACTAAAAGCTTTCTCTATCCAGATCTCACTGCAGCAAATTTGGCAGGGCTGCCCACTCCTTAGTACACAAGTGGTCACCTTGATTTAAACAACAATAAAGCCCAGACAAAGAAGAAACCCAATAAGGCTGAGGCAGACTCAGCAGTACACATGTAAACCTAGTGGACCTCAAAAGATAAGGAAGACTGGTTGGAGGAGGAGAGAACCAGTTGCTATAGTCTCTTTGGGTAGTCTCACGAATAAAACAATAATGCTTTCACTCAGCACCTTTCATCCAAAGCACAGAACAATTTTTCATATTACTTAAATTTACCTCTGTGCTGATCTAATTGAGGAGTGAGACAAGAGATTAATACATGTTCTTATGGAATCAACTAATGATGCAAACCATGACTCCTGAATCTCTGCCTGTTGATATATTTACTTGGTTTGCTTTAGTAACTCCCCTTTTTTATATGGCAAAGTTGGTTTAAAACAATGGATCTGTATTCCTAACTGTCCTTCACTTCATCCAGAATGAAGTGAAACCTAGGAGGAGGGGAAGGTTGGGGGGAAGATAACAACGACCTTATCCCTTATTCCAACAAGGGGTGAAGAAAGAGAAAGTTAAAAAAATTATTAATCCTATACAATTTATACACCCAACAAATTTCATTTCAAACATACTTAACTGTTTATTTATGATGGTTTATTTGTCTGCCTAATGCCTGTGTGACACAAATGCATCTGCATTCAATAATTCCCCTAGAGACAGTTCTCAGATCTGGTGAATCACCTTATTAGCTTTAAATGAGTCCAAATATCTTTGTGGACAACCATTTTAGACATAAAATGATTCTTGAAACTGGATGTTAACCTTTTAACTAAATCACAATAAATTTCTCCAGCTAGATATGTATTATGAATTAGCGTAGTTGCCTACAGAGAATAATCACATGTTCTAATTACCATTTTGGTTATACGCATAATTAATAACATTCTGGCTTAATGGGACGCTATCTTTAGACAGTTGCATGCTTCAGGTCCAAAATCCAACTGTCAGCTGCACTGCCAAAGACAAAGAAATCATGAGACTACATTTTTTGCTTTGGCAACACAAATCTTTATATAAGATATGATGATAAAAATTATTCTTTTGTTTTCCACCTACTTTATCAGTGCACATCAAGCATCATAATAGTGCTTTTTTATTGCTGTATTAAACTATGATCTGAATTTACATTGCAATCTGACCATACATTCATATTGGCACTCAGCAACGTAAGTGTACATATATCCTAGTAACTTAAATATCCAAATTATACAAACAAATTAAAATATGAAAGCAAACTTACTGATTGTAAGCTTTCATTTTCACGAAGACAAGCTGTTTGGAGCTCTGATTTCAGAACTGTAATGTGATGTCGATGAGATGCTATTTCTCTCTCTAGTGTAGCAACTCCAGAGCTTGCAAGTTGGTAGACATTCATAAAACTTTTAACCACGGCCTTTAAAGATAAGTAAAATAAATCATCAACACCACCTGCACATAAATGATAAACAGCATGCATCCAAAGTAATTATAGAATGAATCACAATAGCTAACTTCTAATAGTCACACAAAAAATTACATAATAGTTCAACAATAGCGTTTAATAATTAAAAGGCATAGCAAGGTCTATGTATTCCAATGGCTACTGTAAATGGTTAATAGCATTACAGAAAGCACAAGACCTGCATTTAAAGTAGAAAGGGTTTCCATATGTTATTTTCAAATACAGGTTACTTCATTAAACCAATACACTGTATTGAAGTACAAGTTTCAGTGCTAGTTCAGTTTCTGTCTTAAGAGCTTCAGGTAAACATGCTCATTTTCAAAATGTGCTAAGTTATTAACTCTCCCACCTCACATTTAAAAAAAAAAAGAAATTTAATTTGGCACGCAACAAAAGAAACCCAGTAAAGCTACAGACCTCTGAAAGTAAATAACTTGATTACAATATAGCTGGGAAAATATAATTGTGTTCATGTATATAGTGGAAGAACGTCTCAGCTGTGTAATATTGATCAAACCGATAATAAAGTTAACAGCACAAGAGAGTACAAATGATTTGGCAGTACTGGTAACTTTATATCTACCCTAAATAGTATAACACTGTTGAGATTATTGGACTTCTTTACAACAGGTTAATCACATTTTGTAGGTTATAGTTTTCCCTTCTGAAATGACCTGCAGTGAGTTTTCTAATGTAAGAACAGCATTAAGGCTAATAAGAAATTGGCCTTCTGAATAGAATTCTGAGGAGCAGAGTAAAATAAATCCCATACAGCTAACGTACACTTGCAAGGACTTTTATAATTTTTGTTTCTTTGTTTTACAAATTTCTTATTTTATTAAATTAAAAGAAAAATAGCAGGACCATCCCCAATTTACACTAGAGTCAGGGCTGCCGAGGACGAAATTCATGGGTATTTCCATTCTCTGCAGGGTCAAGTACCTAGTGGAGAGGCACCCCAGAAGGAACCTGATACAGTGGTATGGCAGACAGTTACTACCAGGGCCAGGGCTACTCATGCTGCTGCAGTGTCACCCCCCCCCCCCGGGTACAACTGGAGAACAGGTACAAGGCCCTGGCAGCACTGGAGGAGGAGGAGGCAGGTGAGGATGACTCCAGAGGAGCCGATGACACTCTACACATGGCGCAGACTGAGCGACGTTAGAACATCCAGAGGAAGAGAGGCTGGGTCCTCGTAATGGGCGACTCCCACCTGAGAGGAAAGGAGGGACCCATCTGTCGCCCAGATCCCATGGCACATGAGGTTTGCTGCCTGCCCGGAGCTCAGATTCGGGACATCATGGTGATGATCCTGGACCTCATCCGGCCCTCTGATCACTACCCCTTGGTCCTTATCCATGTGGGCACTAATGATGCAGCCAGGAGTAGTCTGGACTGCGTCACAAAAGACTACGAGTCTCTGGGGGCCAAGCTTAGGGAGATGGGAGCACAGGTGGTTTTCTCATCTGTTCTTCCAGTGAGCAGATGTGGACGGTGCCATGAGGCCTGCATCAGAAAGGTCAACCAGCAGCTTCGGAGCTGATGTTACTGGAAAGGCTTCAGATTCTTCGACCATGACCCACACTTCTGCACAGGAGACATGCTAGGGTGGGACAAGCTACATCTCTCCCTGAAAGCTAAGCATGTTTTCTCTTCCAGGTTGGCTGATCTCGTATGTTGAGCTTTAAACTAGGTTCATTGGGAGATGGGGATGCAGAGGTACAGGAGGACACTTCGACGTCAAGCCAGGTGATGTGAACAGGAACAACCCAGGTAAGTGACAAGGGCCCAGGCAAGCTTGGGAACAAGAGGGCAGCATGAACACCCATAGGAGGTCTCAACTGCCTCTACACAAATGCTAGAAGTATGGGGAATAACCAGGAGGAACTCTACCTCCTGCTAGCTAGCAAAAAACAGACCTGGCTGGGCTTACAGAAACCTGGTAGGATTCTACCCATGACTGGGTAGTAGACATTGAGGGCTATAGGTTGCATAGACAAGACAAAGGAGGGAGAAGAGGTGGGGGGGTGCAGCACTGTATGTTAAAGAGTAGTACATGTCCTCAATGATTAGGGCGGGTTCAGAAGAGGGGCAAACTGAGGCACTCTGGATTAGAATGCAAGGGGGTCATGGGGAAGGGATTTGATAGTAGGTGTCTACTACAGACTGCCTCACCAGGGGGATGCGCTGGACCTGCAATTTTCAGGTCAGCTCATGGAGGCTGTAAGGACAAGGGATGTGGTTATCATGGGTGACCTAAACTACGCAGATATCTGCTGGGAGCATCAGTTAGCCAGGTCTGAAAGCTCACATAGGTTTTTTGCCTGCATACAGGTCTTCCCCCTAACCCAGGAGGTACATAATCCCACCAGAGGAAATGCCTTGCTGGACTTGGTCCTTGCCACAAGTGATGACTTGGTGAGGGATCTGCAGGTGCTCAACTACCTAGGCATTAGTGACCATCGTCTGCTGGAATTTACTATCCGGTGCAGGATGGTGAAAGCAAGCAGTAAGGCAAAAGTCCTTGACTTCAGTTGGGCCGACTTCAATGAGCTAAGGAGATTAGTAAGAGACATTGGGGACTGAGAGCTTCAATGAAATGGGAGTCCAGGACAGGTGGTTGTTCCTTAAGGAAATGATCCACCAAGCTCAGAGGGAGTCAGTTCCTATGCAAACCAAAGGGGACAAGAGTGCTAAAAAGCCGCCTTGGCTCAGTAAAGGCATCCAGGAGGGCCTGAGGGCAAAAAAAGTGGCATACAATCAGTGGAAGCAAGCAGCTATCACTAAGGAGGATTACACCTCCGTTGCTCATGATTGAAGAGAGCTGGTTAGGAAGGCCAAGGCAGAGACGGAACTAGGGCTGGTGACCAGAATTAAAGATAACAAAAAGTCCTTTTAAAAATACATAGGGAGTAAGAAGAAGGCACCAGGTAATGTGGGGCCCCTACAGGACAGACTTGGCAATCTGGTGATTGTAGCAAAGGAAAAAGCTGATCTCTTCAATGAGTTCTTTCCCTCCATATTTCTGAGCAGGGACCAGGACAACCCCCCACTAGGATTACAGACAGGCTCAGGGGACACGATGCCATGCCTAGGGTCAGGGACTATCTAGTTAGGAAATTCTTGGAGAGGCTGGACGTGTATAAAATCAGCAGGTCTGGATGCTCTTCATCTGAGGGAACTGAGGGAATTGGTGAAGCTCATAGCAGGGTCCGTGGCACAGCTGTATGAGCACTTGTGGTGCTCCGGTCAGGTCCCAGAGGACTGGAAAAGGGCCAATGTGGTCCCCATTTACAAGCGGAGAAAGGAGGACCCGGGTAACTATAGGCCAGTTAGTTTCACCTCAGTCCTTGGGAAGACCTTTGAGAAAATTATCAAGGAACGCATCTGCGGATGCCCAGTATGGGAGGTAATGCTCAGAGGCAACCAACGTGGGTTCACTGCAGGCAGATCCTGCCTGACTAACCTTGTTTCCTTTTACGACCAGGTCACAAGGTCCTTGGATGCAGGCATTGAGGTGGATGTCGTCTACCTGGACTTCAAGAAGGCCTTTGACACTGTTTCTCACCCCATTCCAATAAAAAAAACTAGGTGACTGTGGCACTGATGCCTACACAGTTAGATGGGTGGCAAATTGGCTTGATGGTCGCACCCAGAGAGTGGTGGTTTTCGACCTGGAGGGATGTGGGCAGTGGAGTTCCCCAGGGCTTGGTCCTCAGGCCTGTGCTCTTCAACATCTTTATCAGCGACTTGGACGTGGGCATAGAAAGCACGCTGTCCAAATTTGCTGATGACACAAAGATGTGGGGAGAAGTGGGCACACTGGAGGAGAGGGACAGAACCCAACTAGATCTAGACAGGTTACAGAGGTGGGCAGATGAGAATAGAATGGAATTCAACACAGACAAGTACAAGGTGCTGCATCTAGGGAGAAGAAACCTGCAACATACTTATAGGCTGGGGAACACCCTTCTCAACAACACAGTGGCTGAAAGGGATCTTGGAGTCATTGTTGATATGAGCCACCAGCGTGAGGAAGCAGTCAGTAAGGCTAACCACACCTTGTTGTGTATCTACAGATGCATCACTAGCAGGTTCAGGGAGGTGATCCATCCCCTCTATGCGGCACTGGTCAGGCCACAGTTGGAGTACTGCATCCAGTTCTGGGTGCTGCACTTCAAGATGTGGCTAACCTTGAGAGGGCCCGGAGGAGGGCCACTTGCATGGTCAGGGGGCAGCAGGCCAGGCCCTACAAAAATAGACTAAAGGGCCTGAATCTATTCAGCCTCCACAAGTGAAAACTGAGAGGGGATCTGGTGGCCACCTATAAACTCACCGGGGGGGGACCAGAGGAAAATAGGTGAGGCTCTGTTCCCCCAGGCACAACTTAGTGCCCGGGGGAACAGAGGAGGGATCCAGGCACACGTGTGTCCCATGCACATGTGCTCCCTGACCTGACCCAAAGTGGAGGCGAACGCAGCAGCAGTGGAGCCAGCAGCGGGGGCAGCAGCAGCTGAACCCCCTAAGGTAAGTGGGGCAGAGGGACTGACGCAGCTGAGCCGGATCCGGAGGGGAAGCCCCCCGGATCCCTCTTAACTGAGCCAGTAGGGAGCCAAGCTCCTGAGCCACGCGAACAGAGCGCGTCGGTGTTTGCGTCGGCGTTTGCTCCAGTGGGTGAGCAGGAAGGGCCAGGAGGGAGACTCCCACTAGCGTGGGGCAAAGGCACCACACTAAGCCAGAAACAAGCAGCAACTCCTATGATGGTGCTGACACGGAGTGCTGACAGGGGCCCTGCCTGGGGGGGTGCAGTCTTCCCAGGGCTTGTCTGAGGCCTCCACCCAGACAGAGCCCACGGGGGGGGCTGGCATCCGCCCACCCCCTGGCCTGTGGGAGTTGTCCAGCAAGGCCTGGGAGGGCAGGGATTGGGGAACCCCACACCTGTCCTGCAGGTG